GGGGCCCTCACATCCGGGGGAGCGTCCCTGGGGTTCACCCCCAAAGGGCCCTCCTGGGGCCACACCCGGGGAAATCCGTGTGGCTCACCCCCCGGGGCGTCCACGTGGCCAAAACCTAGGACGCCCCTTTTGGCTCAAAACCCGGGGGCGTCCCTGTGGACAAAACCAAAAGCGTCCATGTGGCTCAAAACCCAGACATCCATGTGGCCCAAAACCCGGGGCACCCTGTGGCTCAGGGCCCGGGGGGCCCAACCCTGTGGCCACACCCAGGGCACCCCTTTGTGGTTTCAAAACCCGGGGCTTCCCGGGTGGCCAACCCAGGGAACCCTTTTGCGCTTACACCCCAGGGAAATCCCCTGTGACTCACAAGCGGGGCACCCCCTGTGGCCCCCCGTCCGGGGGAAATTCCCGTGGCTTCACACCCGGGGACCCCCTGTGGCTCACACCCAGGGGTCCCTTGGCCACACCCAGGGCACCCCTGGTCGTTTTAAAACCCGGGGAAACCCTGTGACTCACCGCAGGGCACCCTGGGGCTCACACCCAGGGCTTCCTGGGGCTCACTTCCAGGGTTTTCCCTGGGGCTCACACCCAGGGCATCCCTGGGCTCACCCCCAAAGGGCACCCTTTTTCCCTCCCGCCCAGGGAAATCCCGGTGGCTCACCCCAAAGGGCATCCCTGGGGCTCACACCCAGGGCTTTCCGGGGTGGCCCCATACCCAGGAAACCCTGTGGCTCACACCCAGGCATCCTTGTCGTTTAAACACCCAGGGCATCCCTGTGGCTAAACCACGCGGGCATCCCTTGACTCAAAACCCAGGGCATCTCTGTGGCTCAAAACCCGGGGCGTCCCTTTTGGTTTTTCAAAACCCAGGCACCCCGGGGCTCACCCCCCCGGGCTTTCCCTGGGGGCTCACACCCAGGGATCCCTGGGGCTCACACCCAGGGCGTCCCCTGGGGCTCACACCCGGGCATCGCTTTGGCTCAAAACCCGGGGCACCCTTTTTTGGCTAAAAACCCCCGGGGGCATCCCTGGGGGTTTCCCTCAGGGCACCCCTGGGGCCCTCCCACCCGGGCCCACCCCCTTTTGGCTTACACCCGGGGAAATCCCTGGGGCTCACACCCAGGCCCCCCTGTGGCCACACCCAGGCATCCCTGGGGGCTCAACTCGGGGCTCCCAAGCTCACACCCAGGGCATCCCTTGGGGCTCAACCCCAGGGCACCCCTTTTGGGGCCTCCTCCTAGGGAACCCCCGTGGCTCACCCCGGGGGTATCCCTGTGGCCCCAAAACCCCCCAGGCCCCCCGGGGGCTCCACCCAGGGCATCCCGGGTGGCCCCACACCATGGGATAACCCTGTGGTTTACACCTAGGGTATCCCAGTGGTTTCAACCGGGGTATCCCGGGGCCACCCCCCGGGGCGCCCCCTGTGGCTCAAAAACCAGGGGGTTCCCTTTGGGCCCAAAAACCCCCAGGGAAATCCCGTGGTTTTACACCCCAGGGAAACCCGGTGGCTCAAAACCCAGGGCATCCCTGTGGCTCCCCCAACTCAGAGCGAAATCCCTTGGCTCCCCCCCCCAGGGTATCCCTGTGGCCTCAAAACCGAGGTACCCCTGGGGGTTTCAAAACCCAGGCGTCCCTGTGGTTTCACACCCACGCGCCCCCTGGGGCCCAAACACCCAGGCGCCCTGTGGCTAAACACCCAGGGCGCCCCTTGGGGGCCCTTCAAAACCCAAAGGCTCCCTGTGGCTCATCCCCAGGGCGCCCCCTGGGCTCACACCCGGGGCATCCCGTGGCTCACACCCAGGGCCCCCCCGGTGGCTCCCCACCCGGGGGAATCCCTGGGCTAAATCCCAGGGCGTCCCTGTGGCTCAAAACCCGGGCCACCCCTGGGGGCTCACACCCGGGGGCATCCCCCCCCCCTGGCCAAAACCCGGGGAAAATCCCTGGGGCCCCAACCCCCAGGGCATCCCTGGGGCTCACAACCCTGGACACTATTAAAATGCCCGAAAAGAAAAGTTTTGCCATTTGGGTTTTAAAAAAAAAAAACAAATCTTTTAAATTTTTTTGGGAGTAAAAAAAAAACAATAAACCATAAATTCGTCTTGATGACCCCCTAAAACAAAAACTATTTTTTTGGAAAAAAACAAATTTAACAAAAAAGGTAAAAAAAAGCAAAATGCATCAATAAACCAATTTTTATACACAAAATTTTTCAGTAAGAAAAAAAAAAATTTTCAAAATTTTTCTTTTTTTTTTCCTGTATTTCTGCCTCCACAAACACCATTTTAAATTTGACCCAAACATAATTTGAACGTTTCTTTCCCATGAGTCGGAATCTGAAAACTCTCAAAAATTTAAATAAAAAATGGTTTAAATTCTACCCCCCTTAAAACTGGATAGGGAAAAAAATTTTCATCTAAAAATTAAATTTCCCCGCATTTAGTGGGGATGGGGAGGGTTTTGAAAGGGGGGAAATATTTTTTAAAAATGCAGTTTTTAAAATGTAAAGCAGAAGTTTGTGGTTATAGGAGGGGGGGACCCGGAGGAAAGAGGAGGGGTTTTGGGGAATGAAGTAAAGGGTGTGATAAAATAAAAAAAAGGAAGCTTAAAAAGGGGGTTTTTAAAACAAAGCAAAAGGGTTTTTATAAAAAAGAGTGAAGTATAGGGAAGAGAAAAAGAAATGTGAAAAGAAAAGGTGAAGAGTGAAAAAGGAAAGCTATGATAGAGGGGGAGAGGCACCTGTCAAGAAATTTTTTAATAAAAATTAAAAAAAAAAATTGGAGAAATTTTAAAAACAAGCAAAAAAGCCGGGGAACCCAATGTTTTTGTATTAAAAAAAACAGAGTGGGGGGGATTTAGTAGATGGGGGAATGGAGGTTTTGGGGGTAGATGGGGGGAAAATTTTTGAGGAACTTTTAAATTTTGGGGAAAAAAGGGAAGGGGGAATTTTCCCCATCCCCACTGGCCGGGGAAAGGTAAAAAACCATCTTTTTAGGAGTGAAGAAGAGCAGGATGTGAGTGTGAGGGGGGGTGCGGGGGCATTATGTAGAATAAAAAGGGGGTAAATTGCGGGAAACTGAGGGGACCCGTGAAAAATTTTTAAAAAGCAAGGGGTTTTGATTTAAAGTTTAGAGGGGTTTGGGTTTTAAATTTTTTTAAAAAAATTTTATGAAAGGGGGGATTGGCAGAGCGCAGGGCCCAGTTTTTTTATAAAAGGGGGAAAGGGGGGACAAAAGAAAAGAAAAAATTTAAAAAGAGGAATTATTTTCCCTGAAAATACCAGGAAAATTTTAAAGGGGGGTTTAAATTATAGAAAGTTTGGGGTTAAAACAAATGTGGGGAATTGGCCGGTTTAAAGTGTTAAAAAGGGAACATATATGTGAACGAAATTTTAATAAAGGTGGGAAAAAGTTTTTATTGCATTTAGGGATTTAAAAAAGGGCCCTATAAAAAGAGTAAAAAAAGGGGAGCAATTTTGGCAGATTTTTCAAGAATATAAAAAGGGGGTATAATTTTACAAAATTTCTTTTAAAAGTTTTTATAGGATAGGGGCTCGGGTTAGGGTGGAGAAGAGGGGAGACATTTCCCCGGGTTTAAAAGTGGGTTCTTGAGACAGGGTTTGTGTAATGCCCACCAAGGGTTTTAAAAATTTTTATAATGTGTTGAAAAGGGAAAGAAAAAAGCTAGGGGTTGGGGGGGTGGGGGGGAAATTTAAAATTTTGGGGGAATCAAATACAAAATGGGGAGTGACACAGTTACTTTTTGCTGATGATTCTAAAGAAAAATTGCAAAGGTTAGTGGATTAGTTTGGGAGAGCGTGTAAAGGTAGAAAGTTGAAAGTGAACATAGAAAAGAGTAAGGCGATGAGGGTATCAAATGGTTTAGATAAAGAAAAATTGGATATCAAATTGGAGAGGAGTAAGAAAGAAGTGAGTATGGAAGAAGTGAGATATTTGGGAGTTGAGGTGTCAGTGGATGGATTTATGAAGGATGATTTAATCATAAAATTGATGAAGAAAAAAAGGTGAGTGGTCCGTTGAGGTATATGTGGAGTCAAAAAACATTATCTATGGAGGCAAAGAAGGGAATGTATGAAAGTATAGTGGTTCCAACGCTCTTATATGGGTGTAAAGCTTGGGTTGTAAATGCTGCAGCGAGGAGACGGTTGGAGGCAGTGGAGATGTCCTGTCTAAGGGCAATGTGTGGTGTAAATATTATGCAGAAAAATCGGAGTGTGGCAATTAGGAGAAGGTGTGGAGTTAATAAAAGTATTAGTCAGAGAGCTGAAGAGGGGCTGTTGAGGTGGTGTGGTCATTTAGAGAGAATGGATCAAAGTAGAATGACATGGAGAGCGTATAAATCTGTAGGGGAAGGAAGGCGAGGGGTAGGGGTCGTCCTCGAAAAGATTGGAGGGAGGGGGTAAAGGAGGTTTTGTGGGCGATGGGCTTGGACTTCCAGCAAGCGTGTTTGAGGGTGTTAAATAGGAGTGAATGGAGACGAATGGTATTTGGGACCTGACAAGCTGTTGGAGTGTGAGCAGGGTAATATTTAGTGAGGGGTTCAAAGAAACCGGTTATTTTATATAGCCGGATTTGAGTCCTGGAAATGGGAAGTACAATGCCTGCACTTTGAAGAAGGGGTTTGGGATATTGGCAGCTTGGAGAGATATGTTGTGTATCTTTATACGTATATGTTTCTAAACTGTTGTGTTCTGAGCACCTCTGCAAAAACAGTGATTATGTGTGAGTGAGGTGAAAGTGTTGAAAGATGATGAAAGTATTTTCTTTTTGGGGGTTTTCTTTCTTTTTTGGGTCACCCTGCCTCGGTGGGAGACGGCCGACTTTCTTAAAAAAAATTCTACTGTGACTGGACTATTAAATGGCCATTCGCAAATGCCTCTCAGGTCTACTTTATCTTTCATTAGAAACACTAGACTTCTAATAATAATTCCCTTCCATAGGTAGCTGCCACCCAGAAACTGTCTGTATCACTGACCTTTACAGAACGGGCTGCCGTCTACTGACAACCCGTATGTGTTCAACGGTGACTTCGTGGACCGTGGCCGCAAGTCCATGGAGGTTATTCTTCTGCTGCTGGCACTGGTCGTTGTCTTCCCCGCCGAAGTCTTCCTCAACAGAGGCAACCATGAGGACCTGGTCATGAACGCTAGGTGGGTCAGGAATCCTTGGTTGGTCATAAATCCTTAGTGGCTCAGGAAACCTTGGTGGGTCAGAAAAACTTGATGGGTCAGAAAACCTTGGTGGGTCAGAAAAACTTGGTGGGTCAGAAAAACTTGATGGGTCAGAAAGCCTTGGTGGGTCAGAAAACCTTGGTGTATGAGAAAAACTTGGTGGGTCAGAAAGCCTTGGTGGGTCAGAAAACCTTGATGGGTCAGAAAAAACTTGATGGGTCAGAAAACCTTGATGGATCAGAAAGCCTTGGTGGGTCAGAAAAATTTAACAGGTATTTTTTTTTGCCTCTGGTGTATGTAACAAAAAGTATGAACTAACCAAATCGTGCAATATGCAAGCATGACTCAACCAAGAAACCCCTGATACAACTTCAGTCACTATCTCTTATGACACGATTTTCAGGAACTCTGAGAACAGCTATTGGTATCGCAGTACATATATGTGCGACTACAAAGGTGTACCGTTCGTGGGAAGTAAGTGTACTGTGTGTGGGCAGTAAGTGTACTGTGTCTGGGCAGTAAGTGTACTGTGTGTGGGCAGTAAGTGTACTGTGTGTGGGTAGTAAGTGTATCGTGTGTGGGTAATAAGTGTACTGTGTGTGGGCAGTAAGTGTACTGTGTGTGGGTAGTAAGTGTACTGTGTGTGGGCAGTAAGTGTACTGTGCGTGGGCAGTAAGTGTACTGTGTGTGGGTAGTAAGTGTATCGTGTGTGGGTAATAAGTGTACTGTGTGTGGGCAGTAAGTGTACCGTGTGTGGGCAGTAAGTGTATCGTGTGTGGGTAGTAAGTGTACCGTGTGTGGGTAGTAAATGTACCGTGTGTGGGTAGTAAGTGTATCGTGTGTGGGCAGTAAGTGCATCGTGTGTGGGCAGTAAGTGTACTGTGTGTGGGCAGTAAGTGTATCGTGTGTGGGCAGTAAGTGTACCGTGTGTGGGTAGTAAGTGTATTGTGTGTGGGCAGTAAGTGTATCGTGTGTGGGCAGTAAGTGCACCGTTTGTGGGTAATAAGTGTACTGTGTGTGGGCAGTAAGTGTACCGTGTGTGTGTGTGCAGTAAGTGTACCGTGTGTGGACAGTAAGGGTATCGTGTGTGGGCAGTAAGTGTACCGTGTGTGTGTGCAGTAAGTGTACCGTGTGTGTGTGTGTGTGTGTGCGTGTATGTGTGTGCAGTAAGTGTTCCGTGTGTGTGTGTGGTGCAGTAAGTGTACAATGTGTGGGCAGTAAGGGTATCGTGTGTGTGTGTGCAGTAAGTGTACCGTGTATGTGTGTGTTTTGTGTGCAGTAAGTGTACCGTGTGTGTGTGTGTGCAGTAAGTGTACTGTGTGGGGCATGTGTACCGGTGTGTGTGTGCATACGTGTACCCTGTTGGGGGGTAAGGGTTTTTTTGGTGGGGTGT